TGTGGGTGGTAAGCCGTTGTTTTTCGGTGACTCGTGCAGCTCAGTCTGAAAATGTCCTCTAGCATTTGTGCCGTAAATGATGTTCCTCTATCCGTAATCACACATGACGGCGCGCCGTGCCGGAGGACGATGTGCTGCACGAAGAACTTCGCCACTTCAGACGCCGTGCCGCGGGGTAATGCCTTTGTCTCAGCATACCGGGTCAAGTAATCGGTTGCCACTATAATCCATTTGTTACCAGTGGCCGACAAAGGGAAGGGTCCTAGAAGGTCCATTCCCACGAGGTCGAAAGGTGTCCGTGGTGGTGTAATAGGGTGGAGAAGGCCCGCAGGTTTCACGGGTGGCGTCTTGCGACGCTGGCACTCGCGGCAGCCTTGCACGTAGCGGTGTACACTGGTCGAAAGTCGTGGCCAATAGTACTGCTGGCGCACTCTGGCGAGAGTCCGCGAGTAGCCCAAGTGTCCCGACGTGGGCTCGTCATGGCACGCGAGGAGGATGTCATCCCGCATGTCGGCTGGTACAACGAGGAGGAAGGCTTTGTTGCTACCTCGAGCATTTTTCTTGTAAAGAATGCCCCTCCTTAGACAAAAGGATGACAATTCGCGAGCGATGCGCCGAGGAGTGTGAGAATTTCGGCCTTCTAAGGAATCAATAATAGGGCGCAATTCCTGATCGGCTCTCTGTCTAGACATAAAGTCAGAATCACTGAGGGCTCCGAGAAAACCATCAGCATATTCCGAGTCCATATCAGGATGTCCCACGGGTGCTCGAGAAAGTGCGTCGGCATCTTCGTGCTTGCGCCCAGACCTATACACAATCATGATGTCAAACTCTTGCAAGCGCAAACTCCACCGAGCGAGACGACCAGACGGGTCACGGAGATTGGCCAGCCAACACAGCGAATGGTGATCGGTCACCACCTTGAAGGGACGGCCGTAGAGGTAAGGTCGAAACTTTGCCGTTGCCCACACGACTGCGAGGCATTCCTTCTCTGAAGTGGAGTAGTTGGCCTCGGCTCGAGAGAGAGTACGACTGGCGTAAGCTATGACATGTTCTACGCCGTTGTGCCGTTGTACAAGGACAGCGCCAAGTCCGACGTTGCTTGCATCCGTGTGAACTTCGGTATCAGCGTCCTCATCAAAATGCGCAAGAACAGGTGCCTCTTGCATTCGCTGCCGTAACTCTGTGAAAGCTGCTTCTTGCTCTGTAGTCCAGGCAAACGGTACATCATCTCGGGTGAGTCGCGTGAGCGGTTCGGCTATCGTCGAGAAGTTGGTAATGAATCGGCGATAATAAGCACACAAGCCGAGAAAACGCCGTACCGCTTTTTTGTCTGACGGCACAGGAAAGGTGGCGACTGCTGCAGTTTTTTCTGGGTCAGGCCGCACTCCATCCGCACTCACAACATGTCCCAGAAATTTCAGCTCATCGTAGCCGAAATGGCACTTCTGGGGTTTTAGCGTGAGTTCGGCCGAACGAATAGCTTCCAGAACCATTCTTAGACGCTTCAGATGTTCTTCGAAACTCTCGGCAAAGATGACCACATCATCAAGGTATACAAGGCAGCTTTGCCACTTCAAGCCAGCGAGGACGGTATCCATCATTCGCTGGAATGTTGCGGGAGCCGAACAGAGGCCGAAAGGAAGAACTCTGAATTCATAAAGCCCATCGGGAGTTACAAACGCTGTCTTCTCTCTGTCTCGCTCATCGACCTCTATCTGCCAATAGCCGCTCTTCAAATCTATCGATGAAAAATACTTCGCGTGTCGTAGCCTGTCGAGAGAATCATCAACCCGTGGAAGCGGGTAGACGTCTTTTTTGGTGACGCTATTGAGTTTCCTGTAGTCAACACAGAATCGCAGCGTTCCGTCTTTCTTCTTTACTAGAACGACTGGCGAGGACCACGGGCTGCTCGACGGTTGTATCACCCCGTCGTCAAGCATCTCCTTTACCTGCGTCTGTATAGTCTCGCGTTCTTTAGCCGAAACACGGTAAGGTTGCTGGCGGTTTGGGCGAACATCATCGTCGGTAATAATTCGGTGCTTTATGAGGGGTGTTTGACCGACTCTAGATGAAGAGGCGAAGCAAGATTTAAATTCCTTCAGCAGGGTATGCAGTGCGGCCTTCTTCTCGTCCGAAAGCTTCGAACTGACGTCGATGTGGTCCAGAAACTTATCTCCATCAACCATTTCCTCGGATGCGAAGCACTCGGTGACATCCGCTACACGGTCTCCGAAGGCCACGGTGGTGCCGCGGAAAAGATGTCGGTGCTCGAAGTTAAAATTTGTGACGAGTATCTGCGACCGTCCGTCACGCACACGCAGAATGCTTCGCACTGCACACACACCTTGAAGCAGTAAAAGGGATACGTTGCTCTCGGCGACCACGTCACCATCTTGGAGGTCTTCACAGGTGACTTCTACGAAAGCAGTCGCTCGGGGAGGGCAACGTCACGCTTTCGTCGGCAACACGCAGCGCAGGTCTACGACAGCTATCAGCGCCTCGATCGGTTGCAAGTTGCGTCGAGAAAGTCACCATTCGCTCGCGGAGATTTATGATCGCGCCATTCTCTCGAAGGAAGTCCATTCCAAGGATGAGCTGACGAGAACAGTCGCGTAGTACGAGGCAGGTTACCACAAACGTTGACTCGCGTATTTCCACTCTTGCGGTACAGCGACCCAATGGAGTAATAACGTGGCCTCCAGCAGTGCGAATACGCGTCCCATTCCAAGGTGTCATCACTTTCTTAAGACTGGTTGCCAATTTTCCGCTCATAATAGAATAATCTGCACCTGTGTCCACCAATGCGCTGACCTGAAGACCGTCTATCAGCACGGGAATGTCGAGTGAGACTCGGCCACTGGGTTCAGACGCACAATCCGGCATTTCTCTCGCACTGCACTCAGACGTCAATTCAATGTCTGCAGCGTTTTGTGGAAGCGTCGATAGGAGGTCTTCCGCACTTTTAGTCCCAGCGACCTCGCCCCCAAAGGTCGCTGCCTTCAGTTTTCCCGACGAGGGCTTGGGGAACGTCCCCGTGCCATCGTACTGAGACGTGGTCCAATAGCTGCGGGTCGTCGTGGAGATGGAGACCGCGATTGACGCCGTGGGAAAGGCAGACGTTGCTGCGCGAGGTAGTCCTCAATTTCTCTTGGCCTCTGACCAACTAGGGGACGAGGCGAATGAATAGAGAAACCGCGCAGTCCAAGTTGTCGGTATGGACATTCCCGGTAGATGTGACCGGCTTCACCGCAATGGAAGCAGAGGGGTCTTCTATCCGACGTACGCCAAATATCGGACTTCCGCGGAGGGGCACGGCGACCGTCGATGTCCAAACCAGCATGCGCAGATTGAATTGAAACTGGCGGCATCGTCTGGATTGGGACTGCAGGGCTTGAGACCGGCATGGAAGTGCGCAGAGCTTCGGCATATGTGCGGTTCCCAACATCAGTGGACGCAGGAGGTGGTTCTAGATTTGTAACCGTTGGTTGAGGGCGACGGCTGTGAAGCACCTGCTGGACCTCGTCCCGAATAATATTGGTGATGCTGCTTACCTCCGGCTGTCTCGCCCCGTGTAGTTTCGCGATTTCCTCGCGGACGACGGAGCGGACGATTTCGCGAATCCACTCAATGCTGTTGCTCCCGAAGCTGGCGGAAAATTCAGTAGGTGATGCAGAATTCACTTGCCGGTTGAGTAGGGCTGACCGCTGATGAAGTACCCTCTCCATCGTAGTGGCTTCGGTCAGGAATTCTGCTACACTCTTCGGAGGACTCCGCACTAGACCAGCAAAAAGCTGCTCCTTCACGCCTCGCATCAGATAGCGTAGCTTTTTTTCTTCTGGCATTGCCGGATCCGCTCGCCTGAAAAGCTGCGTCATGTCCTCCACGTACATGGTGACGGTCTCATTAGGCATCTGGATGCGTGAATGCAATGCACGTTCAGCACGATCGCGGCGGTCGGGGCTCCGGTAGGTCTCCAAGAGGCGATGCTGGAACTCGCGCCAGGATGTCAAGACATCACTTCTGTTCATGAACCACGTTCGGGCGCCGTCTTTCAAACACGCGTAGACGTTGCGGAGTTTGGCGGCTTCGTCCCAGTAGTTGATCGCTGCGACGTGTTCGAACTCGCTCAGCCAGTCGTCCACATCCTCAAACAGCTCTCCGTGAAAGGGACTAGGCATCAGCGGGTTCTGGACAGTGCAATAAATTGGTGCCGACGACGTAGGAGTTTCCATGACGCCTTGAGGCGAAGTCATAGTCGCTCTATGGATAAGCTGTGCCGGTGTCTCTGGTGGTAGGCCTCGTTGGCGGCGGCTTGTTCTGTGAACTGGCGTGTCCACGGGCACAGGGCTTGTGTTCCGGCTCCTGGATGGGCTCTTGTGCATGGGGTGCGTCGTCAGTTGTCGTACCCAGCAGCTCCACCAATCTTGTCACCAATCTTGTCTCACTCAAGGAAACCTTCCGCAGAACTGCTCGTCAAGCTAGGACAAAAAGAAAAACTGCTCCAACCCAACCTCTTCGTCCTCTTCCACACGAAAACCACGCGAATTCATGCGGCATTAAAAAGCGGCTCAATCCCAACCTCTTCGTCCTCTTCCACACGAAAACCACGCGAATTCATGCGGCAATATTTTTGGATGACGAACGGCATTTTGTTCATTGATTTTCCAATACTTGTTTGATAGTGTACATACTTTAGTAACTGAGGACTTCAAAGAGAGGAACGCATGAACAAAGCCTTACGAACTTAATTCCTTAAAGCGTATATCATTTCTTTGCCGTGTCTGAGACTTCCTTTGACTGCTTTCTTGCAGTTGAAGTCGATGTAATAGTATGTAATAGCATTACTACTTTACGGCGGTAAATAGAAGACAGTGCAGTCATAGCAGCAGTCGTCGTCGTGCTAGTAGTAGCAGTAGTAGTAGTAGTAGTAGTAGTAGTAGTAGTAGTAGTAGTTGCTGTCGTAGAATGTTATTGTTATAGTAGTAAAAATTTTTGCAGACGGCAACTGACTCAAGGACCCATTGAAGAGAGCACTGGTGCACTCTTCATTCACCGGTGAGCATACGTAACTCTTGTTATGCTTAATTGGTTCATGCTGAAATAAAACCATAGGTGGAATAATTTGAAAGAAAGCAGTGACCAATACGTCAGGCAGTGTCATTTACTTAACTATTTGTCTACTTATGTTTATTATTTTATAAATAGTCTACTTATTCATTTCCAAATCACCCACCACATGACAAAGGTTAGTAATTAGCATAAAAATCAAGTTGTAAGGCCTACAGTAAGTAAAAATGCGAATAAATAAACTTAGAGTGGGCTTTCTAAAATAACGTCTAGTGTGTAGCCTAAACATCATCATCAACCACTATGTCGGTAAACTATGTCGGTATAAAGGTGGTTCCACTCAGTTGCCTTATGCGATGGAAAAGACGCAGACTATTATGGAAAATATTGATGAGAGGGGCATATGAGCCCCGCCACGGTGGTCTAGTGGCTAAGGTACTCGGCTGCTGACCCGCAGGTCGCGGGATCAAATCCCAGCCATGGTGGCTGCCTTTCCGATGGAGGCGGAAATGTTGTAGGCCCGTGTACTCCGATTTGGGTGCACGTTAAAGAACCCTAGGTGGTAAAAACTTCCGGAGCCCCCCACTACGGCGTCTCTCATAATCAAATAGTGGTTTTGGGACGTTAAACCCCACAAATCAATCAATAAATAAATCAATCAGAGGGGCATATGATAAAATACTCGACACTTGTAAATTATCAAGCATTATTAGTGACGTATCATTTTATGTTACAAATCACAGAAATGTTAGGCCCAGGCCACATATCTCCAAGGAGTATTAATCATCTTCGGCGTTTTTAACACGCACCTATGCAAGTACATCTTTTTGAATTTTGCCCCAATTGAAATGCTCCTTTCCCTGCCGGATGATACAGCGTAATCACCAGGAGAGACTGTTTATCGATTCGAAGATGCTTTTTCCTTTTTGTATCTGTGTGTTTATGCGCGTGCGTGCGTCTGTGTTTCTCTCTCTCTCTCTGTGTGCGTGCGTGCTTGCGTGTGTGTGTGCGCGCGCGTGCGTGCGTGTGTGTGTGGGTGCGTGCGTGCTTGCGTGTGTGTGTGCGCGCGCGTGCGTGTGTGTGTGTGTGTGTGTGTGTGTGTGTGTGTGTGTGTGTGTGTGTGTGTGTGTGTGTGTGTGTGTGTGTGTGTGTGTGTGTGTGTGTGTGTGTGTGTGTGTGTGTGTGTGTGAAAGATTGCGCCTTCTGTCAAACGAGTCACTCGCTGGCGATATCTTCAAAAGCCAAAAAAACTTTATGAATAGATAAAGCTATATACAGTCATTTAGTCAAGAACTTTATTGAAAGGTCCTGAAGAGTTCATGCCACAAGGTTGTGCACGAGGAACGTCCCAGAATCCGCTACTCTAGGTGCCGTCCAAATCCGGGCGGGAACGTGGTGCCATTCCGCCAGTTCTTGAGCCCTCTGGGCTGCCTTTAGTTGGTGACGGAGCTTGGGGCTCTGGAGTGCCCCTACCCAATCGGACTGAATGATTATGCAGATTTTTAATGATATAGTGAGAGCTCTTCGAAAAAGTTTATATAGTTTCTAAAGCGACGTTCTCGATATATTCTGTCACAAAACTGAGTAAGTTGGCCAATCGGCGCGCCCAGTTGCCTCTGTCAGTTTGATCGCTTATAGCTGCGCTGACAAAAAAGCGGAAGACTATATAAATAATGTCAGTAAATAAGTAAGAATATATCAACACAATAGTAATAGGTAGATAGTTTTAAAATATTAGGTAGCTAAAGTGCATAGCTCAAGCACAGATAAATTATAAATGAAACTTTATTTTCTACAATAATGCATTATCAGTACTTCAACATTCATGAAAAAAAGCACTTTAACACAGGTGGGATCAAATAAATTTGTACCCCAGCCCAACTAATACATTCTTGCTATATTGTTTTTCACTCTCACAAGTTCCCCAGAATTTGAATTTTTCTATGGTGTGCTTGCAGCACATGAATAGTATGAGTGATAACATGTACAATGAACTGATGCACATGCGTGATTCTTGCACAGCATAATACATCGAGGATGTATTATTTTCTGTTCAATTGCGCGTATTGCTGTCTCATGTTTTTGTGTAAACAGCTGCCGGAAACGCTTCGAGCGTGCATACTTTCGCTTCACTTGGTTAAACTATTCCGGCATCTAAAGCGGTAATGAAGTACGTTTCCTTCAAATGTGATGCCCGTCACAGCTTGGTCTTGCGCAATTGCTATCGTATTTGTATACTGCGCCTGAGCGGTGCACTTGAAGGTACACTTGTTTTATGTAATGTTCACAGATGCAGGAAAAGACAAAGTTGCGTTCAGTGACAGCACACTCAGTATCGGATAGCTCGCAACTCGGCGGGGTATAGAAATGACGCTCTCATTTTCATAAGTAGCGTAAGCGTGCCGTGGCTTAGCGAAGCACGAAGAGCTGGTGTCAGCTATGGTCGCACACGTCTTCATCTTGTTTACACTGACGTGGTCTGTCTAGCGGTAATAAGACCAGCTGTTGTACGGCACTGCTAAATATAAATACGTAAGGTGCTCTCTCTTTTAACGATTTCCCTCAGGCGCCTAAAGAAGCAGCGCTGACTTTGTCATGCATTTATAATATACTTCCGAAATACATCAGTCATAGAGTTTTGCCATACAGCATCCCTCAGTCCTGCAGGGTTAACTTGCTTATCATTTCACGTCCCCAGCAACCTGAGCCGCTTGTGCAAGCAAGTCAACGCTGCCGAAACAGAACATATGTGTCAAGAATCATAGGACACTTTATGTCAGATGCGTAGACAACGTAGAATACGATATTTATCTGTTGTGTGGCCGTTTCTATTCGTTCAAGCCCGTTCATCTAACTACTAGTTGTGGAAAACATGTCTGCAATATCAAGTCCTGAATTAGCAGCACTTTGGCGGAGCATTGTTTAGCATGCGGCAGCGCTCCTCCCTTCAATTATTGTGAGGTCATTTCAAGGTCATCAGGAGAACGCACAAAAAGAAACACAACAATACAAGCAAGTGCAGCACACAGCCCTTCTGTCGTGCACTTATTTCGGTTTAATGTTCCTTTTTTGTTGTGCCCAATTCGCTACTTCAGGTCATCTCAAGGTTTCGAAAATCCTATTGAGCGCAATATACATTTCCGATGGAGGCGGAAATGTTGTAGGCCCGTGTGCTCAGATTTGGGTGCACGTTAAAGAACCCCAGGTGGTCGAAATTTCCGGAGCCTTCCACTACGGCGTCTCTCATAATCATATGGTGATTTTGGGACGTTAAACCTAACATATCAATTGAGCGCAATATCGAAGTTTTTCTGATCATGAAAACAGGAAACACTTCTGCCAGCCAACCCTCAAATTACTCTCGTGGAAGAAGAGCTGATGTTCTTGTTAAGTATAATTGTTATATCGTGAATCGTGGTGGACATGCATTTCTTTACTGTGACTATTTACTGTGATATTTACTGTGACAGTTCACGTTTTTTTTTCTCGCTTCCTGATCTTGGCATATTTTTCATTTGGAATAAACTTGCGCACATACAGTTGTTCGTCAGCGCTTGTGTTGTATTTTCCTCCTTTTTAGTCCTGTCCTTGCGCTGCTCACTTCAGCAAGTGTATATACTTTTGCTCACGAATGTTATTAGCTCCTGTCTGAAAAAAAAAACATAACAGGTATTTTGGCTTCTTTTTCTTGTATACCGCTTGTTGAACTCAAAATTTCTTTTAAATAAGGGTCAGAGTCAACTGGTGTACTGCATAGAACTCTTTCAATCAGTACATGAACAAGTAGGTCGTTTTTCGTGTAATGAGCCCACCGCGACAGTGTCCTCAACAATGCATTATTGGTTCATACAAGGCCTACTACGTTCAGCTTAGTGAAACAGTGATTGGGTGCTCGGCTCCTGGCCCGAAGGTCACGGTTTCGATCCTGGTCACATCAGTCGCATTTCAATTAAGGCGAATTGATGGAGGCCTGTGTACCGTTTTCTGGATGTAATTCAAGAACACTTCGCGTGCCAGGACGCGAGCAGTAAGAGCTCTACGAATGTCTGAATTCAAAGAAGTCGCAAGCACAAAATAAATGTCCATGACCCGTGACGCAGGGTTTGCGACTAGCCGTACCTTATGTCATCATGTGGCTTTAAAGTGAATAAAAAAATATAGAATCTTTCGCGCCTTCGCAATGATAACTTCTGACTGGGTTTAGGCTAGAAGTTTTTGAAAAACGTTTATGCGTGAGCATTCTGACTGGTTATTTTGTGCTTGCTTAAAAGCTGTTTGCCGCAACCGTGAAAAAAGGGCGAAGTCATCATTTTCCATGACTATTTCTGATATCATCACTAGAGAATAATCTGTTGCATGTTGTCACTTTCGTAAAAATTTATATGGGGCATCCCAATAGCTAAACCACCAAGTGGATGAAGGACCTTATTTCCAGCAGCAATATGCTAAATTTCTAAAGCCGCTTTACTTAGAAAAAAAAACTTCAAAGGGAAGGTTCCTGCTACAAAATTCTCAGAAGATAGCGTTTCAGACATTATTTTGGGCTACAAAATGCGATCAACATATGCCAACGTCCCCAACCATTCGTGATTTTTAGCTGCTACTAGGCTGCATTTAGCTAACGCGACACATGAGGTGTCCGTCGCTGCCCAGAAATCATCATTCGCCCTACATTAGTTATGGCAACGTTTGCTGGCCAGCACAACTCCTAGAGTGCGTTTAGTCGATAGCAGCAAGATTTGTTATGGGAAAATATGACCAAACTGAAAGCTTTCCATGTAAGAACCGAAAACTTAATTGGCAATACTTCCAAGTTCGAAGACGTAACCTGAGATTAAAACTATTTTATTGAATATATAACAAAAGAACGGCATTAATCCTTCAGAATATTTAAAACTTGTGCATCGTCCTTCCTCTCGTCATGAGCGCTAACTTAAAGTACGGCCATACAACCCCAGAACGAATCTTTTCAAGCATTCTTCTTTTTC